AAATCCAACTCAGCGAAAAAAGAAGGTAAGAATATCCAATATTGATTAGGATGCTGATTAGATTGGAAACAAATCCTTATAAATTATAAGTTAAGAAAAAAAGTATCCAAGTATAAAGCTTGTTATGCAACAAAGTAGGAAAGTAGGTTAAGCCTTATTTTCCACTTTTGATTTTTTGGTCTCATCATCAAAAGGGATTTGAATTCTCGCCTCTCTCATCCCCTCTTTTTAATCTAGAACGTTCAATGAAAATTTGATGGTTTGAAGTTGTGCCATATATTTAATGAGCTTCATTTTATTTTTATCGCTTTTGTCCAACAATCTTTTCCTAGCTTTTCCATTCATGTTCACACCACCATTTACCGTCTCCTTCTAACACGCCAGCCATAAGTGGCTCCTTAAGTCGATCTAGAGGTCGTAACAGAACTTGACAACTATTTTGAAGATCTTAGAGCTACCAATGAAGTAAGGAAAAATCTTAGATTGTGTCATCGTTCCCATCAATCTGTTTAACAACCCTTATATGCACCATACAACAAATAAAAAGAAACGCGTGGGGAGTAAATAGGAGGAAAGAGGATTTGCTCCCATCAAAAGGTGCCAAAACCTAGTTCTCAATTAAACATAAGGAAAATTGATGAAAAAAACTTAAAAATTTTGAATTTTAACGATAAGAATAAAATAAAGGGTAAAGTGAATAGCACATAGTTGATTTTTTAATGTAAAAATGTGATTTTTCGTTAAAATTTTCTTAAACATATTTGTCTTAATTAAAAAAAAATTAAAATTTTGATTGAACTAAAACACACAGAGCAAAGTAGGTGAACAATAACAAATCAACGGCTGGCAAGATCAATGGCTGACAGGTTGCCATCTAGGTTTCCAACGTTCACTGTCTGAATTCCAAACTACTTTTCCGATCCTTCTAGAGGATAATTACCGCGTCAACCAAGTGTTTTATCTCCTTCTCTTTTTTTTTTTTTGGGTAATGATCTCTTTTCCTTCCATTTCTTTCTTTCTTCAACCACAAAATTAGGGTTTCCTCAGTTTCTCACATTTTTCTCCAATTCCATTCGAACACCCCCCCCCCCCCCAAAATAAATAAAAAAAAAACTTTAAGGCGATTTGACATTCGATTCCATATGTGAAGTCGAATTCTAAGAAAAGCCCCAAGATACCCACCTTCGATTTGGGGAATAAGATCGACGATTGCTTGAATTTGGGGAAAAAGCTTGGACCGTTCTTTCTTTGAATTTGGGGGAGCTTCAGGGCTTCCGGAGAGGGCTGCATTTCTAAGGTTTTGCTTTTCTTTTCTCAAAGATCAAATCTTTACCTCCAATTATGGATACCCAATTCCCCAAATCCCTAATTTCGATTTTTTCCCTAATTCTCTTCGGCTTCATCATCGTCCTCTGCTCCTTCCCCGCCGTCCGATCAGAACCAGAATCCGTATCCGAACCCACCATCATCAGATTGCCCTCTGAATCCGAACCCGCGGACGCCTGCGGCCGATCGACCCGGTCAGCCTCCTCGTGCCCCGTCAATTGCTTCCGTCCCGACCCGGTCTGCGGCGTGGACGGCGTGACGTACTGGTGTGGGTGCCAAGATGCCCAATGCGCTGGTGTCAAGGTGGAGAAATTAGGGTTTTGTGTGAGGTGGGTAGCGGCGGCTCCGCCCCCCACTCTGCTCAAGCTCTGCTTTTGGTTCACATTGTTTGGCTCATCGTCCTCGGCTTCTCCGTCTTGTTCGGCCTTTTCTGAGAGTTTTCGGATTCTGGTCCAATTCGATTCATCGCTTTAGTTGGTTGTTCGGAAGCTGTATTGATGGAGCTTCCAAAGATTGCAGCTTTAGCAGATAATTTTAGCTAATACATTGTGTAAGATATGTCAAATTCATTGCTTGCTGCACATTTCTGATTGATTTGTTATCGTTTTCGCCCTCGGTATACGAATTCTTTGGCCCGGCTTTGAGGCTGATTGTGTTCTTTGATTTGAGGAGAATTGGGTTGTTGGGTTTTGTTTTTGTTGATTTTCTTCTTAAGTTCTTGTAGATGGCAGCATGTATCTTAGAGATTGTTGTATTCATCATTGTATTTGTATTTCTCTGTACAACTATTGTTTAAACTTGAATCATATTTAACATTCTAATTTCAGGTATTAATTTCCATACATTTGTTCAGATGATGGGATTTTGAATTCTGAATAACTTCAAAGCATTTACGTTTGATTTTTGCGAGAAAGGTTTGGGAACTAAGAAAATGCTTGTTTAATTTGATGAATGTGTTTGTTTAATTGGATAAAAGGGATGAATTAACCCAAAAAAATGTGGTGGCAAATGTCTCAGCTGGAGCTGGTGAGCTGTTGCACCCACCCCCACGAAGGGATTGGGTTGGTTCTACTTCTAGCTTGTATTAGTGATCCAATAATTCATCCTCATCAACAACATATTTCCCGTGCAAACTTACATGCAATCGGGACATTGAAGACTAAAGAGAACTTACTTGCAATCGGGACATCTGTTTGAAACTACTTATTTTTGGAACTACTATTTAAAGCACATTAAAATTTATAATAAAAATGCAAGTCGAAGCACACATAAGATGTTGTTTTTAGAAAGCACTTCAATTGTTTTTTTATAAATATTTTTTAACTTTTTCTGTCAAACATGATCATAAACGTTTGTGAGAGAATAAAATTCGATTTTGACACACGTAACCATCTCAAGTTGTGCATATAGGTACCGTTTGGCATGCAGACAGGACGGAATGGGACGGGACGGGACAGAACAGGACGGGACGGAACATGACGGAACGGATGATGTAAATATTGAAAAAGATAAGGAGAAATTTTGTCATAAAATGTTAGAAATTTGTGTTCCACGGATGTGGAAAGGATCGTTCCAGGGGGAAGAGGTGGAACGAAAAATCAGCCAAATTTCGTCCTATGGGATAACCCGTTCCACAGTTTTTAGGCGCACCAAACGTGGGACAAAACAGCTCGTCCCGTCCCGTCCCACGTTATCAAACGGTACCATAGGGATATGAAACAAGCCCAAGGACGAAAGTTCGTTATAAAGCTCTTTGTATGATCCCAAAGGTATTAGCTAAATCGGATGACTGGTCATTAGCGGCCTACTAAAGTCATCACTCTCACACTCCGTGTGAAGCATGAGGTGTTTTTTTTTTGTTTTTTTTTGTCAAACGATAGATTTATTAGAATAGATATTAGATTAAGAAGCCGACGGGATTTGAACTCACATCGTAGTGTAAGGACAACACTTCTCTTTACCACTGTGATAGAAGGCCACTTGCAAGGGAACGTGCATTTAACCCACTTGCATGTTATGTTAGTTGCCCTTCACTCACTCATAAGACGTAGATCTAGGGAAAGAGGGGTTAGAGATTTGTGAAATCAAAGTCTGAAAGGGATGTTGAGGGAGATCTGCAACTACCTTCACAGCGGGAAAGTGAACGAGGATTGAGAGTGGTGCTTGCTCCCCAAGCCAATATGATCTTCTCCGGATTCTTTTGATAAGATCCTAAATATCTGTTAATCATGTCCGTTCATCATACATCGTGCAATCAGTTTTTGTCAGGTACTGTGTGTTTAATTTTAAATTAAAATATTTAAAATGATTTCTAACGGCACGATGTACGATAAATGGACACGATTCACGGATTACTGGGATCCTCACAAAGAGGATCCAGCGAGGATTCGAATTCTTCCCCAAGCACCCGAGCTTTATAACAACTCAGTCTTGACAAAAATCAAGGCACGCAATCTGAAACCATTGACAAGAGAACACCAATTCATCTTGATTGACAAAGCGTCAAAGTACAATTCATCTTGACTAACTCAGCATTGAAGTACCTTTTGCAGGCACATCTCCCATTCAACGAAGTTTTCGAAAAGTCGTTCTTGACGAGTGATTCAACAAGCGTGTGAATTACCGTGAACAAATCTGTTGAGGTATTTCTTCTAAGAAATTTGGCTCCAAACAATCTATAAAATCCGTTTTAGTTATTGTAAAAAGTCATAAAAATGCTTAAGTGGATTCTTTCGTAACGTTTTTGGTTTTACCTGTATCTTGGGCTGTTTGGATTGGCCCCTAACGATTGGACTGCTGAGGGGTCAGAAAAGTGGTTTTGGGCTGGAATTATTATGTTTAGGCCGAAAATTATGAGCACCACTATTTTCACCTTCTACATTAATAATTTAATATATTTTTATGATTATTAAATTGAATAAAATTAAAGATAATTCCGTAAATGAATAGAGACAAGAGAGCAAAAGATGAAAAAAAGGAGTGGAGGGACAAAATTTAAATTTCCCATTTGCTTTTGTGAGATAGATTTGCAATGAATTCAACTTGTGAGCATCTTAATGGCCATTTCTTCTTAAAAAGTAGGCTTAAAAGCCAAACCACCCCCACTAGATAAAACTAAACTCGAAAGGCCAAATACATTTTTCAGCTGTGTGTTCTAATATAGTGAAAGTAAAAGGTGCTTTTATTTATTTTCAAAAAAGCTACACCAACTGAGGTGTTTTGTGATAAATTTTTCAATATGCTCTGAATATAGTGACGGTGCATTATAAGTTATTATACAAGTTGAGAGAGTTTTTATTTTAAGTGTCTCTCTACTTGTATAATATAATGATATATAGTTTATGTACTTGTATTTCTAGCACACTGAAAAATCTCTCGTGTTCTACCTCCATGCGGTACCAAAAACAAAACTGCACCAATAGCCTCCAAAGTAGTGACAAACACTCAACAATGTCCAATTGGTTGTTGTACAAAGACTTTCTTGTTCCTCGATCAACATCAACACAAACTAGAGACTCATCAAGTTTGAATTTTCTCCAACAAATCATGGCCACACATTTCCAAGCCAACGGTGAGGTTAAAGAACCCAACTTTCCTCCAAGTGCATTATTCAACTGTGGATCCCACACACCGCTATTTCCCTGCGGTTTCCGTGTCACCAAATCCTTGTATTTCATGCCATGAAAATTCAGCCGAAAGAAAACCATCTCTCTTAGAACGCATAGTTCATCCTTTGGTCATGGACTCAGACTCTGAATTGCAGCAGAGCAAAAGGAGGAGGAGCCACCAGAGAGAAGATCAATCAGTAACTGGCTTGGAAAATTTACCACATGAAATCATCACTGAGGTAACTTCAAGGCTGCCCTTTTCATCTCTGGTAAAATTCAGGTATGTATGCAGAGCGTGGAAAAATTTAGCACAAGACCAACATCTTCGAATTTTCGATGCTTTGCATAACTCTAACACAGCTGATCACAACAATCTGTGCCTGATTTTTCACTGTGATTACCCCATCAGAAACCATATTTACTTTGTAGATTACCCTTTTCACCATGGTGAAAAGGAGACAATGCTAGTGAAAAAAATTCACCCTCCTTTCTGTGGTTCGATGCCTGAGTTTGATGTGGTAGGATCATGTGATGGTTTGCTGTGCTTATCTGATTCGTTGTACAATGATGCAATATGCATATATAATCCGTTCACTAGGGATCATAGAGAGCTGCCTAAATCAGTTCGATTTCCTAATCAAGAAGTGATTTACGGATTCGGGTTTCATCCGATTACTAAGGAGTACAAGGTAGTGAAGATAGTGTACTATAGTAGACGAGAATCATGGAGCCGGTTTCGAGTGTATCGGCCACAATCAGAAGTTCAAGTTTTCACTCTTGGAACTTCTGATTGGAGAAGTTTAGGAGGAACATCTCACTACCTTCATCACTGGCCAGCTCAGGTCTTGGTCAATGGAAGGCTTCATTGGGTTACTTGGAGAAAGGGTTACCACCCTGGTCGAAAGCTCATTTCTTTTGACTTAGGAGACGAGCAGTTCAGGGAGGTACCGAAACCGGAAGTTGACGGATTGAGCAGGTGGAATTATCATGTGCTGGTTGTAAGAGGTTGTCTTGCTGCATTTTTTTACTGCAGTTATGGGAAATTGGAGATGTGGGTTATGGAGGAGTACGGTGTGAAGGAATCATGGGTTAAAGAGTTGACCATTGGAAGTTATGTGCCAAAGACATTGAAACAAGATGTTGATAGATCATGGAAGATTTCAAAGATTGTTAAAAGAGGAAGACATGTTAGGGTTTTGTGTGTTTTGGGGAGTGGCCAGATCTTGTTGGAGTACAAAAGCAGAGCTCTAGTTGTTTATGAACCAAGTAGTGGAAAGTTTAAGGATCTTTTGTTTCAGGGGATGCCTAAGTGGTTTCAAACCGTTGTTCACGAGGGCACTCTCAATCCGATACATACTCTTGTTAACATGTGATGGTGGGCAATGAGGAGACAGCGGCTCTTGCGCAGGTGCTTTGATGGAATAGAGGAGGAGGAGGAGGAGGAGGAGGAGGAGGAGAGGTTGGGGGGGGGGGGGGGCGGGGAGTGGGGGTTGAGATGTCTTTCTGTACTGTTTGTAGAATTGTGTCCTAAACAAATGTAATGAAACCAACATGAAATTCTTCATTTACTCTGATCATTATATGGTTAATTTACACAACATTTACATATGCATCATACAAATTAGCATAACTAGTCTGAAGCTATTCTGTGCGACGGCTACAGAACTGCAATTCGATTATTCGAGCATCAGTCTTTTCATCATTGAGTTGTCCTCGGAGCTTCTGTTCTATCAGTGCTTTCCTGCATTCTTTTGTCCGGGCTGAAGCAATTGTGTTGCTGACCTTTTTTCATTTTCCACCACCACCAAGGTAGACTTTTCCAAACACGTGAATTACCATTGTCAAGACTCTCGAGCTGTGTTGTATTTTTTAGATTACAAATCGCAAACTCAATTTCGTACGGAAGACATTTGAATCCCTGCATCTTAACTTGTTTCAAATGATCATGTGTGAATTCAGAATGCTTCTCGGCCTGTGGTTTGTCACGACCGGAGTATTTTCCTAAATGTCTCAAGCCAAACTGCGATACTAAACGAATTTTCTACCCAAACAAAAGGCATCCCGTAGCAACTAAAATCTCGATGAAAGAATATGGATACTGATCATTTTATTCTTTAGTGCTGAAACTTCAAGCCCTACTTCATAAAGCTCTAACTAGTAACTACTGTCTTTAGTTTCCAGACATCAGCCTCAAGTTAATTATCAGGTGTCGAATAACAGCAAAGAAGAAAGCAAATCAAGTTCGACTAAAAGTTAAAAACCGATTTCTGTGCGTAATCTAATCTAATACTAACCGTTAATACAAGCTCTTGCTATGAGGTGCAAACTTGAGGAGATTCAGAACACACTCGAGGTAAAGATCACGAGTAATAATTTACTTTCAATGCAACCTGATTTGCCTTTTCTTCGCTGAAATCTGGACACCTAATAGTTTACCTAAGACTGATGTCTGGAAACTAGAGTTTAGAGTTAGAGCTTTATGTTGGAAAATTAGTTTTAATATTATTGTTAGTCTTATTGTTTTTCTTGTAAGCCAGGGATTAGGATTCCTTGCTGGTTAAATTTATTTGGCTTGCTCGTCAAGTTTGGGTTTGCTTTCGTTTTCTCGTATAAATAGATGTTTGTACTGTTGTTAGAAGTAAGTTAGTCACAAAAAAAGTCTTACTAGTTATGTAGTCGCCTTGGCAAATTTATAATGTTCTCTTTTGTTTCGATTAATAAAACATTATTTGTAGTTTAGTATTATGTTCGTTCCTTCGGGGTTTAATCCACTCTTGTTTGTTATCAGTTTTCTAGAGTTTGTTGATCTATCTTATTTTAAGTTTGTGAAAATTGTATGTTCTTGTTTTTGGATCTTGATTAAGATTTCACTTTCGTTGTGCTCGTGTTTGTTTTCTATTTTGATTAGGGTTTTACTCTATCTAGTTGTAGGTAACTAGCAAAAGTGCCTGTGTGATGATGCAAGTTTTAAAATCGTATAAAACATATAGAAAATTATAAATAAATATGTGTGTGTGTGTGAGAGAGAGAGAGAGAGATAGGCAATACTTTCATACATGTGGAAATCTACATGCAACCTTATTTACAGTAAGGAACAAAATTTTCTTAATTTTGTCCTCTTCAATCAAACCTCTTGACTATACTATTGGAGAGATCCTCTAGAAACCATGACATAGTTATGGTAGCGTTATTCGTGAAACATAGGTTTGTTATGGGTTCAAAACGTACACCATATGTTTGTTAAAAATTTGTCACATGATGAACCAGTGACAAAAGTATCTTTTATATGTTGTTGTCAGTTGTTTTTGTGTATAGTGATTAGTGAAAGTGAGGACTTGAAGCATGACCAAATAACAATTCTTTTTATACCTTGGTGACTTATTCATGCTCACCAGTGTAATAATAATTCCAAAAAAAAGTGTATAATTAGGTGACAATATGGAAGCATATAGGAGCAAAGTTGCACTTGAAAACGGCCAAAACTTTTGATAGATAAGTAGTGAATGATTTCCTTCTTGGGATTACGCAACATCAATAGAGTCCTCAACTGCAGAATGAAATAGTAAATCTCTCATATAAGTATTCTAGGCTACGATATAACGTTTATAGCCTTGCAAATATCAGTGAAAATCAAACTTACTTGAAAGTGAGTTTGGGCCTTGCTAGCCACCATAACGTGCGCACCACCCATTCAATGTCTCCGTTTTCCTTCCAAACGCTCCAAGATATGTTCTTCATCGGTCAGGTACTCGACCAAGCCTTTAAAATAATTCAAAGTAAATAAATACATCAACCTCCTAAGCACATCTTTACTAATAAGATAATAAATTATACCTAAGTGACTATTGACATCCTACGTAAATTGTTACCATTGGTATAATTCCGACAATCATGATGACCAACTCTCAGCTTAGTTTCCCACTGTTTGTTGAATTCGAGTGCCATATCTATGGCACCTGATCCTTTGGGAGAACCAACGTACCAGCATTTTCTTCTCGGCAGTTTCGACAACTTCCTCATAAGAACAACTCCTAAAAGAAAAATGCATGCTAGTCTAAAATACCAAGAAATAAAAACAAACTTAAATGGAACCCAAGATAAATTTGTAATATTATGTTGCAGGGTTATAATTATATCAGTACTCACAATTTCTTCTTTAATTTCATAAGCAACATTAGATGGTATCTCTATGATATATTCAACCCATACAAATTAACTAAGGTTCAAAGTTTTCTCAGAAATCGTAATAAACTTCATTGTTATTTGTTTACAAGAGGGAAGTCCTCTCTTATAGAGGGCCAAAAACTAGTCATAACAAGTGGACAAGCCAAATGATGATTACATGAGAAAAACACCGAAGGGGAAAATAAGGAGAAAAGGAAAGCAAAGCAAAGCAAAGTACTGATGGCTAGCTATAAAACAAAGTAATGATGGCTAGCTATAAAGTAAACTAATGATGGCTAGCTAGAGGAATAATTACAAGTCTATTGTCTATACCAATAATGTCTAGCAGCTATTGTTGACAAGTTTCACAAGTAGAAACTAAAGGATCAACTATTGTTGACAAGTTTCACAAGTAGAAACTAAAGGATCAAAAACAACTAATGTCAAAGAGTTATGCGGTATGAGATCAAGGATTCCAAGGAATGGTGTTTCAAAGCAGTATATCAGACAGGACAGACAAGACCAAGCCCCGGTTTGAGGTGCACAAGTTTTAATTTTAGGTGTTCTTCGACATTGATGTTTGCATTTTAATTATTTTCAATAACTTACTAATGCATATGCCAATTAGCGATGAACTATGCTTTCTTGAGCAACATGAAAGATGTAGTAGATGATGCAGCTAGTTAGGCTTACCCGGTATTGCTTTTCCGGATAGAACTGCAAGGGCTGCATATATGTTTTCAGGATCTTTAGGTTGAAAATCGAATACTATGGCCTGAAAAAAGAGACTAGACGAATTTAGAGTTCAAATTTTCAAACTTTTGTATTGAAAAGGTTACAAAATATGGATACCAGGTCTATGTTAATAGACATTTTCCCAAAAACTTTTGTGCTGCACCATACTAGTGTTGGAAATTAAGTACTAATTAGGAGACATGTTTTTTCCGTAGCAGTTAACTTTTCTTTTCACTTGAGTTAGACTACTTTAATTAATTTCAAGAAAAAAACATTTTTCATATTTATATTTTTTACCATGTTTTTGTTCTTGTAGCATGCTTTGACTTCTCAACTACTTTTAAAAATCTAAATATAAAGAAGTTTAGTATTTGAAACAGAAAAAAGCAGCATTTAACATTTAATCTCAATTTACCCTTTTCGTTTTTGTTATACCAATTCGCCATTGGGCTTCAAGGTGATTTCATATCAAAGATTTAAGCACTCTTGAATCAAGCATATCAGTTTGCGGATGGTGGTGTGTCTGGATCAGGAGGGATTTAAAAGGGTGATTGTGGAGTCATAGTCTTAAGTTTGATAGGCATGCTGAAGAAGGAAAGGGCTCTGTCTATTGAAGGTATCCTTCTTGATGTGTGGGAGTTAACGAAACAACTGTAGCTAGTTGAGTTCTCATACGCTTCCCGACGTTGTAATGGAGCAGCACAATCTGTGGCTTCTTTTGTGAGTAAGAATGGAAGAGTCCATAGATTGGGCATGTTATTTCCCGAGTAGTTGTTTAATAATCTTGCTCATGATATAAACATTAAACATTTATATTCGACTTAAATGAATTCTATCGTTAGACCAAAAAAAAATAAAGCATCAGTTTGGTTACTTTGGTAATGAAATTGCATGAGAGTTGACTTTTGGCAAACTGAGATTATGTACTAGTTGGGACACAGGTTAGGAAATAGATTTTAAGGTTAATTATGGTAAACAAAAATCAACCAAGAAAATCCAAAAGAATAATTAGTGAACTAGCTAAGCTACCTTATATAGAGAAATGGAGGGAGGAGAACCTGACAATCAGGTGGTGGTGGGGAGGGATTAATGATAACCATGAAATGCTGCAAATTCCAGAGATTGAGAGAGTAAGCAGCAGATGTAAGCAGCTGGGCGGGTCCTTTTGTTGCTCTTAGAGGCACTGCTGCAACATAAACTTCATCCCGTCCTCTTGTCACTGTTGGTTTCGTGAGCAGTGAGGCCATTTGGTTTTCCAAAAAAATAAAAATAAAAATATTGAATCGGTTTCAGATGAACAACAAAAATATGAAAAAAAATTAAAAATTATTTTTATATTATTATAAAGGGGATAATTCGCAAGTTTGGGTTCATTTCTGTCCACTCGGTTAGCCTTGGTGGAAGTCATTTGTCAATTGGCCCAATCCCCGTCCAAAGATTATAAAAGACAAATGTTGTGTGAAAATTCCACGCACAAGATAAAGTTCGGAGATTTCTTCACACTTTTCATCTCATTTTTTACATTTTAAGGCCCATCAAGCTTTTTTTATGTTTGTTTTGGATGGACAAGGATCCTCTCCGGATTATTTTTGTGGGAATCCAGAGATCAATTAATCGTATTCATTTATCGTATATTGTACAGTCAATTTTTATTAGGTACTACTTATATTTAATTTTAAATTAAAATTTTAAAATAATTTTTAACCGTACGATGTACGATGAACGGACATGATTAATTAATCATCCGGATTCCCACAAATAGGATCCGGAGAGGATCCCATTCTGTTTTGGATATTTTATATAGCTAATGGTTTGAATCACTGGTGTGTACTAGTCGATGGTATTCATCAGTCGAAAGAACTTTTCAAACAGTATCGTTATAAACAACTGATTAAATTTGTATTACTAATAGCTCATTGTGAGGCTAAGTTCATCCTAGATAATATCGTTTGTTAAAAAAAAAACATTTGACAACTAATTTAATCACATTATTATGCGCGCATGCGAAAGACCTTTTTTATAACCGGCATTACACGCATCTTAAGATATTTTGAACGTATTTAAAAATAGAGAAAATAATATTTTAACGAACAACTAATTGCTTTTATTTAATAGGAATCCTTGTTTCATGGAATAAATTTTGAAGTGCAAGAGGTAAAAGAAGAAAATGAAATTGCTACATTAAGTTATTTCTCTCCTCATTTTTGATGATTCAAACCGAGTCCAAAGAAATTTGGCAAAAACTAAAAATTGAGTTCAGAGAAAGAAGCACACGATTTTAACCACTTTGACGAAACCAGATCTACACAACCACTATTTTTTTCTTGTCTTTTCGTTGGATCATCATCCCTTTTTCCCAACTAAAGTTTTCACATGTTTGTTGAATTACTAAACACTAAAGCGCATGCAGAAGGTCTTTTTTGAATCACAGCATGTTACGCACTACTTACACGTTTTAAATGTATTTATATGCGTGAATTGACAAAAGAAAAGTCAAATATTTGAAGTAAATGAATAATCTTAGATCATGGTAGAAAAAAACCCCTCACAAACCAATCAAAGCAGCTGAATTCACATAATAAAATCGATCTTTGAATGTCCATCTACATTCTATTGAATTTACATTAAGAATAGAGAAAATAATATTTAATAAACAACTGGTTGAATCACTTATTGCTAACCCATTGCGAGGCTAAGCTCACCCCCTATCTCTTAATGTAAATAATATCGTTTGTTAAAAAAAAAAAACCAATCATTTGACAACTAATTTAATCACATTATTATGCATGTGCAAAAGACTCTTTTTATAACCGGCATTACACATCTCTTAAGATGTTTTGAACATGTTTAAAATTAGAGAAAATAATATTTAATAAACAACTTATTGAATCATATTATTGTTATCCTATTGTGAGGTACTAATTTAAAAAAAAAAGTGTACAAAAGGAATTAATTATTAGAAAACACTATTAAAATAACGAAAATACCCTTGCATTATTTTGAGTTGCTTTTGAAATTTTTTGTTTTAGGGGTATTTTTGTCCAAATATTTTGATGAAACTTGTGACCTCAAAAAGGGTTGTTGGCTTTATATATAAGGGTGTAGCCACAAACAACTGTTAGCATCAGCTGAAACAACTTCACGAATCTAAGTATGGAAAATTTTCACATAGATATCAACTATTAATATTATTATTTGAGGAATCAAATTGCATTTTACAAATTATCATTGATTAGATACGTATCACTATCTCAATATAAGTTTTTAATTATGAATCAAATTATAGAGACGTGCCACCTAACAATTGTTGATGTGGATATTATCAATTGGTTTTATGGTAGAATCTCAATTTTTTTATGGTATCAAAGCAGTTAGCCCATGTGTGAAGCTCAACGCTACACGTGTTCCATGTCACCCTAATTCCTGTTTCCCACGTATTTGGCTTGAAAATTCGTCACATATGATGGGCATGTGAGGATGCGGTCAAAGAAAAAACCTTGCAAGAGTTTATATAAGAAGTTGGTGTAACCTCAACTTTCTTAAGCTACTTAAGAAATGAAAAGGCATTCCACACAAATTAACAATGGTGGCATGCATATTAACTATTTCAATATAGTTCCAATTAATCCATGGAAACTTATAGTGAAACGATGGATGTGCACACCCATTCTTATCTCCAAGTATACCTCAAACTCCTAACAACCACATGATGAACCTTTGTCATCAAGGAAAAGTAAACTTAAAATCAGAAAGAAAAAGTTGATCAAGTAGAAAATGCATGTAACTCATGAATTTGTCATGAAACAAGTAGTAGCTATGTATATAGTACAACAATAGTCGATCTTATTACTCAAATATTCAAACATCGGTACGTACACGCACCACGATACAAATCATCATGTCTACCATATGTATATGGAGAGCCAGCATTATCTATGTTCCACACTCACCTCACCTTCTTTGTACGTTACGCCTTATATAATTTCTTAAACCACACTAAATGAAAGACATTTAATTGATCTCTTCACATGCATGCAAACCCCAATATACCCACTAATAATACAACTTAAAAATTCACTCTGTCTTCTCCACCGGGGCTTCAGTACCAGCTTTCTCCTCAACATCATCAGCTGCCTTCTCTTCTTCCTTAACTACTACCTCCTCTTTAGGGGCTTCAACTGCTGATTCTTCCACCGGTGCCTCCGGTTTAACTGGTGCCACCGGAGGAATTTCAGCAGTATTCTCCTTGTCCTTGGCCTCCTCCACAAGCACTCGTTCTGGTTCTGGCTCAGGGGCTACCTTATAATTAGGTGTAGTAGTTTCCTCTTCAGTTGTAGTACTAGTACTCTTCTCCAGAGTTGGTTCTTCTTCTTTTTCGACTCCTACAACTTCCTTGGGCTCCTCTACCTTCACTTCCTTTGTCTCAGCTTCGACTAGGACTTCCTCATCTTTTGCAACTATGTTTTCCTCGTCTTTTGAAGCCTCCGCTTCAGCCTTAGGTACATCTTCCCCAGAAGCCACAACAGTCTCTGCAACTTCCTTTGCCTCCTCCGCAACTTCAGTTGGTGCTACTTCTTCAGTAGTAGCAGTGATAATAGCCTCTTGAGCCTTAACTGATTCCTCGTGATGAGTTGTATCCTCTACAGGAAGGGCTGTCTTTGCTGATACAACCTGCATGATCATATACATACAGATACAACTCTTTGATTAATATTTTGTAATTAACTAATCAATTAGTTAAAATTGTAAGAGAGCTTGAACTGATAATCACAAACACAAATGTGTTTTACATATTGAACAAATTAAAGGAATGATTTTTGCAGAAGTCTTTATTTTTGTCCCTAATTCCTCTTTGATCAAAATAATACAAGTAAATAAAGATATACTGAAAGACAAAATAAATGTGCGAAAATCACTTCACACAAATCAATGTAAAATAAACCAGTCTGGAACCGAAGTTGAGTGAACACCTGAGCAGTGGCCATAATGGGAATCGAAAAGTGATCAAATTGAACAAATTAGAAGATCGAGAGAAAGGCGAACTTAGATGAGGAGAAAGCCAAGAACAAATTAAAACTAATGGTTGCATGAATAAAAATGATCAATGGGATGGTTTATATAGAGGAGTCCATAGACCTCACTGCCTCGTGGTTGATGCACGAGAGGACTAGAGTGGTGGGAAATTTTTGTTTCTCACCGCCCTCAAACGATGATGGTGCTTATCACCTATTACTCTTGAATGAATTTAAATTTCGAGATCTGTATGATGGATAGACACAAATCTTAAATTTACATTCATCCAATAATAATAATAATTAAATAGGATGGTAAAGAATTGTCACTGCTTGAGAGTGGTGAGCAAAAATGTACACCCTATTAGGGGAGATCAAATCATCTGCACCCAAAATGGATATAACCTCTCTATGACTCCAATAATTAACTGATACATGTTTATAAACTTAACTTTTTTTAATTTTATTGTTAGAAAGTTAATATATGTTAGTCAATGATTGATGTCACAAATACACCGCACCCATTTTGAATGAAGAATTGGTGGGGTGGCGAGGGCGAGGGAAACTGAGGGAAACTGAGGAATCTTGGGATTTGACACCTCATATCTCTCAAAATTCATGAGATTGGCATGTTTGGTAATAATGTCACACAAAAGGTGTTGGATCCAATTTGGGTTAAATAATCGCTCTTATAGCGGTTAGAGAAATGTTAAAGAAATTCTTTTAAAAGTAAGATTTTTTATGAATTTTCAATCATCTTATATTTTTGACATAATATTTTATAATATTAGCACAAAAATTGATATTCAACTATACAGTGACAAAGAATCTATAAATAATCTCATTTTAAGAGAGTCTTCTTAATATTTTTTTAATTGTTATAATGATCTTAGGATGGCAGGGAATGACAATAATGGGCATCTTTTGCTTTTTCCCAAGCCATCATTCTTCTTTCGGTTGTGTGTGCTCATGTGCTTTTGTGCAGTTGGGCTTGCAGGGTTACATTACCTTCATCATATCCACTCATATGCATCCTTCAAATCTTGATTATTTAACTACCATTTGTTTGGCCTATTTACCAAATTAATTAAGCTACCATGCATGTTACAATTCCATCAGGTTATGGAAAACTTTTTTTTTATATACTACACGATTATCATCACATGTTGTTAGTAGTTCATATGTATTTTTACATAAGATAAACGGTAGTATTATATGACAATGTTACAATTACACTTGAATTTTTACTATGTCACGTTTTATATTGGGCAACTATATATTTTCTTCATGATCTTCTTCTTTAAGTCTCCTCCAAAATTTTAAAATGTTTGATATAACCTAACATTTAACAGGTAGACAAAGTGTGAAACATGATGCTTATTGCTTAGAATACAAAGTCACTAAAAGTATAAAAGGTTAGGCCGACCATAGATTATGCAACCATAACAACCAATAGGCACAATTTGCTTATCAGAAATGAATAACACTCTGACGTGGAACATCATAGACAATATGTTCAATCACCTATTGCCTCCTCTATTTGTCTTGGAGCCCTAATAATAGGCGACAAAATCTGCACTATCAATACTAATAGTTTTCTGATCCCACTCTCCCTAGTTTCCTTGGCTGAATTGGAAGACAGTCACACATGCAATGATGTGTATACATCAGCATTTTTTAGAATTCATAAGTAATCAAACTCTCACTAATCACTTTAACTTTTCTAAGAAAACTCTTTTAAAGTGACTCTCAATGGACCATATGTCATCTCACAGTTTAATGTTTATTTCCGTACTATTATTATAAAACATTGTGTAAGAAACATGAGGTGGCAGAGATCCATGAAGGTCTCACTTTTAAGAGAGTCTCCTTAACATTTCTCAAACTAAGAAAGTTGAAACTAGATAAAGAAAAGCAAACCGCATGTAACTGCAGTATAGATCACATCTCTAACGCAAGTGTGAAAACTCGAACCCTCATGCATAATTGAATCGAGTTTCTATTAGTTAAAATGTTATCTCCAGTGCTCATATACTAAAGTTTCACTGATACCTATGACATTCTTTGTGCGATTTGGATCCAAAACCAAGTTGCACAAACAATATTCCAAGAACAAATTATCTACCCCATGCATGCATGTTCAATATTACAATTGATAACTTCGCACACTACTAGCAGCTGGCGATGATGGCCTTGGGATGGCTGTTGTATATACATTCCAACCATGATTTAAGTCCTACGTGCCGTTTCATTTAGGGTTTAGGCGAATGAGGATCCTCTTTAGGAATCCTCAAATCATGTTCGTTTATCGTACATTGTGCGGTAAGTTTTCGTTATATACTGTTTATGTTTAATTTTAAATAAAATTATTTAAAATAATTTTTTTACTGTAAAATGTACGATAAACAAACACGATTTAAAGATCTTTAGAATCCTGAGAATCCATAAAGTATTCTCATTCGGTTTAGGCAATGACTATCAAGATTCAAAAGCTGTAAAAGGGCCCACAAGAGATTCACGAGAGATTCACAGTGCCTTGCTGTACTTCTGTGCCAACGAATGTGTGACACGTTGCAAATACATCACCGACCACTTGGTGGGATGTGGCTCCCTGTCAGCAATGGACATGAAATGGTCCTAGTTTTGGGATGAGGATCTTCTCAGATTCACTTTATAGAATTTTAGAAATTCTCACTTCTTAACAATTTATCGAATATCGTGATGTTAATTTTTGTCAAGTACTATATCGTGATGTTAGTTTTGGTGCTCAATTTATGGGTCCGCATGATAAATCATGAATAACAGAAGTGTGACAGGTTGGGGAATGAAAAAGCTTTCGTGCTCTATCAACCTTTTATCTTTTTTCATCTCCTTGAATTGAATTTGAATGCGTATTTTTTGTTCATTAACTTATGATTAATGAAATATGAAGCCAAGATAATCACACATGGTGCCAGATTTGTGTGGTTCACTATAAACTTCATGGGTGCAACAATCGAGCTGTCCCTAATTAATTAGTTGTACTATACAAGTCACTATATTTGATTTGCCAAATTACTTTCTACTTATTCCACATGAGACTTAGAGTTAGCTAGTGCACTATGCAAGCCTATTTGTTGCAGGGCTATTGGATTTGTTTGGGCATAAAAATATTGGTTTGGGCCGAGTTTAGAATTGTTTTCGGCCTGGTGCTAGTTGGGCCGAGTGTAGAATTGTTCTCGGCCCAGAGGCTGTGTTTAGGTGTCATTGAGAGGTCATGGGCCACGCAGTCGAAGCTGGCCATATCCCGTCGGGAACCTATGGGATATGGATGATGTCTATTATGAGAAGGAGTTTCGGTAGGATAAGGATGTTAGAGTTTGAAATTGAATGCGGCCTGATAATGAGTTAAGTTCAAAGTCCTAGTATGAGTAGAACTGGCCGAGATAAGGTTGAATCGGGGAAAGGAGTTCTAATCCGAGAATGATTAGGATTCGATATAGGTTGGCTACTATAAATAGGGAGGGAGGACATCAAACAAAGCCCCCTCCAATTCAACATACAAACTACCATGCGCAAACTCTCGCTCTACGCGAAACCTCTCAACAACCTTGAGATTTTTATTTTCCTTTTTCGCCAACACATCTTCAGTTTGGATAAACAGCACTGTGAAGGCAACCGGCGAGCATATTCAGTTTGGATAAACAGCATTGCGACGAGGCTAACTAGTTATCTATCCAAGTCTCGACCGAGAAGGATTTTCGAATCCTTATTGGCAGAGGTCATCTCATTAGCCTTCTTGGCGAAGTGAGGTGTTTCGAATTACTGGGTTCAGCATGTTAAACGCCAAGTTGTTTTATAATTGGATACTCACAAGTAGGCTTTAGAGTTCGGCATTCTGATAGCTGAACCATTTTCACAATCAAGACGTACATTTGTTTTGATTATTTGTGTCCCTATACTCTGGTGTCGATTCGGCGTGCTTATACTCTCACAAACATAATCACTGTGACCGAATCAGGTGCCGACGATTTGTGAACTTCGCAAAACTAGTAGCCTTGTCTTCAGGCTCTATTAGGGGTGGGCATGGGCCAGGCGGGGCCCAAATTTGAAGGGACCGGACTGGACCCGCTTTAAAATGGAACGGGCCAGGACGGGCCGGGTATTGAAATTTCTGAAATTGGAACCAGCCATAACCCGGCTTGTTTGAAACGGGCGGTTCGGGCTGGGCCTACGGGTCCAACATATAGGAACGACGTCACTCAAGTCTGTCTTCCTCCGACGCGAAACCCAGATTCCTAGCAACATCAAGAAGTCGAATCATAAAACCACCATGACTGAAAGACACTGCAAACTTAATGCTCTCAAGCTTTGATGATCTTCACCACTTTGACGTGCAAGCTTACATTCTTTGTGAACCATAGTCTCAGTCAATTTAGTGATTGCATCAATAAATAAAACAAGAGGCTAATCAAATGTATTAGTTTTGTGCCGAAAACTGAATAATTTCCAATCATTTGTTAACAAAATAAGAAATCCCACGGAAACAAAAACCCTAGTCAAATTGAAACTCTCAACTCTGAAGAAACAAAAACAAACCGCCACTAAACATGGGTTGGACCTTGGAAGGTACTAGGTAATTTGAGCTTGGCCTAGACGATCATTTCGCTAATGAAATGGGAAGCCTCGCTTCTGAATCTCCACGTCTGACGTCACATGCCTGCTCTCTTCGAACTTCTTGTGGACCTCCGCCGTCGCGTCGTTCAGCATCGTCATGTCTCTCAGCTCCGCCCCTCTCAGTCCCCTCTCTCTTTGCAGAGTAACCTTCTCAGTCCTCTATCCCTCTTTGATCTGGACCCATGCGCCATCTTCGTCCATCTGAGGGAGATTTTGATAAAATCGAGGGAGAGACTGAGCATCTTACGGTCAGAAATGGAAGGATCTGAAGAAGTTTGGTGATGTTCGAATTAGAGGTGAGAGAGAAATGAGAAACGTGAAAAAGTTTGCTGGACTTGCAGAGAGTGAGAGAGAAATGAGAGACGCATGAACTCGAAAAAGATGTGGGTTTCAATTTGAAATCGAAGAAGGGAGAAGACTCCAGAAGCCTGGGAAGGTTTCATTTTGTATAATTATTGTAGA